AAGTGTGTATATCCTTTGTAAATGAAAAAGGACGAAAATAAATTTCTAAGGACATTACGTTACAGTTGTTTGAATCGTGTTAAATGTTGTATTTATTATGACGTGAAATATGCGAGGGAGGCTAATAATGTAACAACAGCTGTGCGTAAAGGAATAATCGGATGGGCGCATGGAGAATTTGAATTTTAAACTAAATTTAACTCAAATGAAAAAATAGAATGCTATGAAAATTGAAATTAGTTAACTAACAACGATCGTGTTTTCCTGATAACAGCAACTGTAACAACCCAAAAATACCACAGCAAAATGACAAAATTTATTTATTAAAGCTAAAAGCATAAATATTCACGAAATTTAGACTCTTGTGGCATGCGTGGCTTATTAAGAGCCGAAGGACATTTTGACCATGAGGAAAAATAGCGCATGGGATACGGGAGGAAAATTAGCATATCAACCCTAAGCTCAACCGTTGGCTAATGGAACCGATTTTGGCAGCTGTAACTGTTGGTATTAACAATGCACCCACTTAAATAATTGTGGCATTTTGCATTTTAAAGAATAATCAAAAGAATTTTCCATTTACTAAATGAGCACATCAGTCAATAGATGGAGAATACAGCTGAAAGTTCTGATATTTTCATGATCTTACCTTCTTACCCCGCTCTTATTACTATTCAACAATTTTGGCGCGTGTCCTTATTCCTTTATTACCGCACTGTCATATGTTGTGCTAAATTTAGAGAAATCTATTTGAGGGTGTTTATCTGCTGCTCGAGGTACTGTGGCTGGTTAATACATTTGTAAATATTCCGACATATGGTGCATGCATAATTACAATGAGTGATCGTGCCATATTGTGCATTTTATTCCGATATGCACTTAAGCCAAAATTTTAATTATATTTCAAAATACTTCATCATATTTCATGAAAAAAGACTTTTTCTTCATGTACTCTACTAAATGAAGTTATCTATATTTCATAGATTTATACTATTTTATTTTACTTATTGAAAATGTGTACGCCACTTATTCATATTTAAGAGACATAACAGCAATCGGTTTCTCTTCAATTACTATAATGGTGATCTCATTTTTTTCATTGATTCAACAGTGTTGACTCAATTCTTAGCCTTTGCTGTATTTGTTCACCTTTCTTTTTTCTTCACATAAAATCCAGGGCGGGTTTTCGCTGCAGCAAAGGTAATGATCTAAGACGATGTTGGCTCACCGGATAATAACTACATCTAAGACACTGAAAGCATGACTACAGTCTATTGGAATGTATTCTTTTAGAATATTTTCTTTTTTGTTCTGTCTTAATTAAACTTTTGTTGGTGACAGATTTTTAATTTAAATATTCACTTTACAGTTGATAGTTACAATATTATATTTTAAATTTTATTTCATAGCCAAAATGTGTCCTCTGTTAGGTGATGATAGCGTTAAGTCATAATGAAGTTTTCAATTGATTAGACATTCTTATTAAATGAAATATTAGCCATCATTATGTTAATTACAATTATTTATTGTTACATTTCATTAATATTAATCAATGCTTCGCTTATAATACTATATAATATCTTCAATAAGATTCCCACAACCCCCAACCCGAAAATGTCATCATTACATAGTTATTAAAGTATCCACAATCAATTAGCATTTTTTCATTTTGATGCTATGATGCCGACAGCATTCACGTTCTTGACCAAGCTGTTTATGGAAAACCTTCTGGGTATTGTCAATTTTATCATCCGTCAGGGCATATGCACATATTAAGTTGATATAAAAAAATGTTGCCTTAATATGGATTTGAGCAAGGCTTGCATCGATTGGTATTAATGTTGAGATCAAATTTCTCAGTTTATCGGAAGTCCGACACTAAATCCGTGATTTTTTGCATGGCAGCAGTAGAAGATGTCGCAACTTGTGGTTTCAGAGTAACCTTAACTCGTACATTGCATTTTCTGCGGAGCGGCAGTGTTAGCCTTGTATTTTCTGACTATATTAACCAAATGTATAAATACACTTTCTCTGTATAGAGTTCATATATTTCAGTTAACAATTTTAAATAATATTTATTATAACGTTTGCGTGACTCGCCAATAGCATATGATGTCTTAATTCGAGGTTTCCTTTTCGTTTTTATTGGAGCGGTATTTTATATAGTAGGTGCCAAGCCCGACGCATAACTTCATATATTCTTGAGCAACGTTTGACTGCACGCATTAGTTCACCACACATTGTTTATTGTAGCTATTCAGAGGGACTAACTTGGAGGTTGTGAGTCAACTTGTAAAGAACAACGACAAGAATCTTGCTGATGTTTACCGAGTTAAATGCAATCATTCCCTCTTGCCCTATTTACATGTAAATTTATAGTTTTGATATAATACATTGGTTAAGACATTATGGACACTTCTGTTCAGGGTGAAGAGTTAGCTTCATGGTAATGTTACTTTTTAATTTTTCTCTTCGATGTATTTACAAAATATCATGTTTTTGGGGAGGGAAATCTTACTAAAAGTTTGAGGATTATGAAGCAACGATTCACATCTGTTTTGACATTAAACAGATTATTTAAATTTAAATGTCATTAAAATATCATATTTGAAGTTAAATAAGACATTTTATTGATATTTTATATACATGTAATGAGAAAACGGCCAAAGGATAAAATTTATCTAGTTTTTATTATTTTTATTTTTACACAATATGAAAATATCTTTTAAGCAAAAATATTGAAAAATAATTAATTTAAACTCTTAAAACTATGCTTCCATTTGAGAATTTACAAGCTACTAGCAAACACATATTCATTATAAATTTTTGTTAAGTGTTCTCGCCTAAAACTATACAGAAATTTATTGTATGCTTAACTTTTGAACGTTTCTACGCATACGGTCTTAAAGTCACTAAATATCGTACTTATTATAGATACATTACTTACTGCCTTACCAATATTCAAGACAAATTAGGTTTATGTGTTGAATAGAATATTTCTTAACGA